GCCAGCGGGACCAGGCGTCGGAGAAGGAAACGGAGGAAACTGTATCACATCCCTTCCGCCGCAGACCCTGACAAAAACGCCCACCCAGTCCAGCTGTACCCAGGCGGGGCTAGGACAGGGATGATTTTTTCCAGAGCGTCCTCTAGCGGAGGAAAAGGACCCATAATTACCGCTGCCTTTGCGCCGTTTTCCCCTTCTTGGGCCTCCCGGGAGGCCCTCGTCACCGCCGCTGGATTCGCCTCGAGATTCTGGTCAGAGCGCACCCTTGGAGAGGTCCAGGGAGTAGCAGTATCCGTACTTTTTGGCTTCACCAAGATAGAGATCCTGTTGAGTGAATTGGTTTTCACTTGTTTGGTAAACATTGGCCTTTCATACCGTCACGTTACCTGGAGCTCTGCCCCGAGGCATACATTCGGTTTGGTAATACCCTGGCCTCTCCACCAGTGCTTTGGCAGTACACCGTCAGACAATGTTGGCGTGGCGATCGTTGGAGCGTTTGACCGCGAGCCCTGCGCCGACGGCGCAGGCAGCTCGGGGCCCGGGCCGACCAACAGCAGGCGCTGCTGAAGGAGCCCCCCCCCGCCCCAGGGGGGCTCTTGCCCTGCCGCGGCGGCGACAACGACGACGACGACGACGACGACGACGACGACGACGACGACGACGACGACGACGACGACGACGACGACGACGACGACGACGACGACGTGGTCGGCGACGGCGGCGGCGCGTGGCGACGACGGCAGGGGCCCGGCGCCAGTGGCGGAGGCCCGCGCGGCGGCGGGCTTCTCTTCCGCCGCTGCGGCGGCGGCCCGTGGGGGCTTCCGGCAGGAGGAGCAGCCGCGGATCCGAGGCAGGCGTCCGACTGTCGTGGCCAGGCTGATCAGAGCGTGAATTACCTACCCCGCTTTCGCTTCCAGGCAAAACCAAGCCATACCACGCGCCTCCTCGTCAAGCGGCCTGACCAGTACAGGCTGCAATTTGGCATCGTTTGGTATCTCTTGGAAGCGAGGGTGGTCAAAAGCGAGGTAGGTTTGTTTGCCCCCTAGCTGAGCCAGCTGGGGGTCTGAGGCGGTCTCGGAGAAGCACCGCTCTGCCGTCTCAGACTGAGCCCAGACGGAGACATAACTACCACTCCGTATGGACTCAGTCCGTATAGGCTTCGCCTGATTATCTCGATCGTCGTCTTGCTGGTGGCACTCGTCGCACGGGCCCTCGGCCGAGCCAAGGCGGAGCTGGGTCGACGGAGTCGACGCCCAGCATTGAGGTGGCCCGGTATTGGTTCGGGTATAGCGAGGACCCCGAGTAAGGAGAGCCGGTCAGTGATTGGGCCCCGAGGCCCCGAGGTCATTAAGCCAGGTCTGCCGTAGTTGGTGTTTCTTGGGTTGGCAGCAGTTGCGGTTAGTGGAATGGGGCGGGGGGGACGTCTCCCGGTACACATCACGAAACCAGGTCTCACTAAATCCAGTCCTGCCAACGCCCGACTGGTTCGCGGTTTGTGTTCGAGAAGGGTTTCGTCCTTCTCGGTCTCCAGGGGCATTTTTTTGGGTGTTCTTCGGGCACTGGGGCCGTAAGATACGGATCCAGGGTGAGAAATTGCAACAGGTGGATTCGGGGAGGGCTCCAGGGACCGATTTTGACCTGATTTGGACCCTCCCCCTCTTGACTTTTTTACCCACCCAGCACAGCGTTTCGTGGCCCCATAGGGAGCTCCACCGAAGGCCCTGGTGGCAGGGTTCGCATGGCGGCCTCGGACCATTTCGGCACACCCCTCACGAGGATCGTTGCCTCATAAGGGAGCTCCACCGAAGGCCCCAGTGGCAGGGTTCGCATGGTGGCCTCGGGCCATTTCGGCACACCCCCCACGAGGATCGTGGCCCCATGGGGAGCTCCACCGAAGGCGCCAGTGGCAGAGTTCGCATGGCGGCCTCGGGTCATTTCGGCACACCCCTCACGAGGATCGTGGCCCCATAAGGGGGCTCTACCGAAGGCCCCAGTGACAGCCCCTTGTGCCAGCCAGAGGCAGGCGCGGCGCTGCGGTTTCGCTTCGGGTCGGGACGATTCATTGCCGATCTGAGTTGTTCCCCCAATCCGATTTCACGATTCGATGCAGCTCCGGCGGGCGAATTGCATTTGCTGGCCCGCTCGCCTGGCTAGATGGGACGCCTGGAAGCGTTTGTCAGGAAGCTTTCGCGGCTGGAGCTCCCGAGGGTGCCCGCCATGTCGGAGGAGGGAGATGAGGGAGGAGGAGGGAGGAGGAAGAGGGGGGGGAGGAGATGGAGGCGGGGGGAGGTGAAGGACGGGGCAGGAGGATGAGAAGGATAAGGATAAGGGATAAGGATAAGGATAAGGAGAAGGAGAAGGAGAAGGACGAGGAGGAGGAGGAGGAGGTGAAGGAGGAGGAGGTGGAGGAGGAGGAAGGGGAGGGTGATGAGGGATGAGGGAGGAGGGAGGAGGAGGGAGGAGGAGGGAGGAGGAGGTAGGAGGAGGAAGAGGAGGGAGGGGGGAGGAGGAGGGGAGGAGGGAGGAGGGAAGGAGAGAAGACGGGAGGCGGGAGGAGGAGAGGAGGAGGGGAGGAGGCAGGAGGAGGGAGGGAGGAGGGAGGAGGGAGGAGGAGGAGGAGGGGAGGAGGGAGGAGGGAGGAGGGAGGAGGGAGGAGGGAGGAGGGAGGCGGGAGGCGGGAGGCGGGAGGCGGGAGGCGGAAGGCGGGAGGCGGAGGGGGAGGAGGGAGGAGGGAGGAGGGAGGAGGGAGGGGAGGAGGGGAGGAGGAGGGAGGAGAGGAAGAGGAGGAGGGAGGAGGGAGGAGAGAGGAGGGAGGGAGGAGAGGAGAGAGGGGAGGAGGGATGAGGAGGAGGGAGGAGGGAAGGAGGGAAGGAGGGAAGGCGGGAGGCAGGAGGCAGGAGGCGGGAGGAGGGTGGAGGGAGGAGGGAGGAGGGAGGAGGTAGGAGGAGGAGGGAGGAGGGAGGAGGGAGGGAGGAGGGCGGAGGGAGGACATTTTTTGACATTCGCTTCGGGGTGAACTAAAGCCCAGCCGCGTTCCTCGGACAGCGGCTGACCCCCAGGCATTTGCCTGGGGCGCTGCCGGTTCCGATTTGGCTCCGCCGAACCCTGCCCCAGAGGGAGTAGGAGGAGGAGGAGGAGGAGGAGGAGGAGGAAGATGGTTGGAGGAGGCGAGGGGGAGGAGATCAACTGCTAAGCACTGGGGTAACTTATGTCCCACATTCGAATGGGCTGACCACAGAGCAAAGCGAGACCTGACCTTCCCACCATAAGGGGACGAAGAGAAGAAAGAATAGGTGATTACTTCACCAGACTTTCCTGGACCCCTGTTCAGAGTCAGACTGCCCACCCAACCTTTCCCCTCCCAGACAAGACCATCCCCTGGACGCCAACTTGCAGGTTCGGGCTTTCAGGCATGGCATTGCCATGGCACGACCCGCCAGGAGAGGGCAGAGTTTTGCAACTTAGCCCTGGCTGCCAATTCCATGCACTGTCTGGTGGGAGAGAGTGTGAGAAACTGGGCTGAACTGCAGCTGCGCCAACTAGCGCCTGCACCACAAACATGTAGAAGGGAAACATACCTGCTTCACAGTGCTGCCATGCTGGCCAAAAGGAAGCTACCGAAAGTGTGAAGGTTAAAGAACGCTGGGTAGCTGACGAATGTCCTTCCCAAACGCGAGAACTGACCAACACAAAAGGTTGAGGATTCTACCAAGAACCTGCAGCCATAGAACATATCTAACAACTACGCCATAAACAATTTAGCCTATCCTGCCCACGATGTGATATAAACTGCCGCTGAACTGATGACATGGGTGCTACCATTGACAATCGAATATCCAATTACATTGACGAAGAGGAGCCTGAGCTGGATCTGCTCCTCCGAGGAACAGGCGCATGCGCACTGCCTGAAGATGTGTTTTGATTCTTTACACGACAGCTCAACATGGGAGTCCTCCAGCTGCTGCTGGAGGTGCTTGATCTTGATTGCCTGGAAACCGCACTTGAGCGCAATTGCCCAACCTTTGCACGCTTGCTAGCGTGCACTGGAGAAGTCGGACGAGGATGGTCGACATGTTTGGCACTGACAGATGGTGAATCGGAGTCGCTACCACTGTCCAATACATCTGGACGTTTATCTTCCTTCTTAGGGATCTGAACCTTCACCTTAGGCTCGACGTTGTAGTTAGCGCACACTGCCAAATAAATATACTTTTCTTTCCCCCTAAAGGGCGGAGGGAGGAGGGAGATGGGAGGAGGGAGCAGGGAGGAAGGAGAAGACGAGGGAGGAGGGCGGGAGGAGGGAGGAGGGAGGAGGGAGGAGGAGGCGGGAGGAGGGAGGAGGAGGGAGGAGGAGGGGAGGGAGGGAGGAGGAGGAGGAGGAGGGAGGAGGAGGAGGAGGAGGAGGAGGAGGAGGAGGCGGATGTGAAGGATGAGGCAGGATGAGGGAGGAGGAGGCAGGAGGAGGAGGAGGACGAGGAGGAGGAGGAGGAGGTCCAGGAGGAGGAGGAGGAGGAGGAGGATGATGAGGAGGAGGAGGAGGAGGAGGAGGAGGAGGAGGAGGAGCTCGAGGAGGAGGGGAGGGGAGGGGGAGTGGAGGGAGAGAGGGAGAGGGAGGAGGGGGAGCTGGAGGAGGAGGAGGAGGAGTCGGATGAGGAGGAGGATGAGGAGGAGGCAGAAGAGAAGGAGGAGGAGCTGGAGGAGGAGGGGGAGGAGGAGGAGGAGGAGGAGGAGAAGGAGGAGGGGGAGAAGGAGGAGGAGGAGGATGATGAGGAGGAGGAGGAGGAGCTCCCGAGGATGCCTGCCATGGCGGAGGAGGGAGAGGATGGAGGAGGAGGGAGGAGGAAGAGGGGGGGGAGGAAGAGTTGGAGGGGGGGGAGAGGTGAAGGACGAGGCAGGAGGAGGAGGAGGAAGAGGAGGATGATGATGATTGTGATGATGGTGAGGATGCGGATGAGGATGATCATGAGGATGCGGATTATGATGATGATGATGATGATGATGATGATGATGATGATGATGATGATGCTGATGCGGAGGATGAGGAGGAGGAGGATGAGAAGGGGGAGGAGGGGGGGGATGAGGAGGAGGAGGAGGAGGAGGAGGAGGAGGAGGGGGAAGAGGGGGACGCGATGGAGTTAGATGATGATGATGTTGATGTTGCTGATGCTGCTGCTGATGATGATGCTGCTGATGCAGATGATGCTGATGATGCTGCTGACGCTGCTCATGATGTTGATGAGGGCGACGATATTGATGACGATCATGGTGACGATGGCGATGCTGATGAACATGATGATGCTGCCGCTGTTGATGATGCTGATTATTCCGATGATGATGATGATGTTGATGATGCTGATGCTGATGATGATGATGATGATGATGATGATGATGATGATGATGATGATGACGACGATGTTGTTGATGAGGATGATGATTATGCTGATACTGATGATGATGATGCTGCTGATGATGATGCTGATGCTGATGTTGAGGACGATGATGGTGCTGCTGCTGTTGCTGCTGCTGACGACGACGATGGTTAGGATGATGCCGCTGACGATGCTGATACCG